TATACATATAAAAGTTTAAATCACTGTAGCTCATGTGTTTCTGCAGTTTTTATTTTATACGAACAGTGCAAGTTTGAATTCAAGGCCCTACATATGTATTTTAAATTAATTTAAACAAGCCAATTTCCACGAGCTGAATACTAGCAAGAATACATAAATCGAGCCGAACACGAACATGCTCTTTAGGAGCAATTTCAAACACCGGCTGAACTAAATTAATTATAAACGAGCTGAACACTAGCCGAGCCCGAGCGGGCTTTGCTCAAGCTCGGCTCCAAGCTCGGCTCGTTTACAGCTCTAGTTATCAAAATCATAGACATCATAATTGAATTCAAGACCCTACATGTGTATTTTTAACTAATTTAAACAAGCCAATTTCAAGCAAAACACGAGCCGAATACTAGCAAGAATACATAAATTGAGCCGAATACAAACACTCCCTTTACGAGCAATTTCAAACACCGCCTGAACGAAATTAATTATAAACGAGCTGAACATTATCCGAGCCTGAGCGGGATTTGCTTGTTTACAACTCTAGTCATCAAAATCATAGACATCATAAATAAATTGTGCATGCTTCTCTTTCGTATCAGTTGTCATTCCCGTTGAATAAATGATTTGGTTTAAACTGATAAATCAAGGATTTTGTTTTTTAATAAAATTTGAAGCTATCAACTCTTTCCATCTCTGCGTTACTTTTCATAGTACTTGAGTAATCTCAATGATTATTGCTTGGTGTTACTTTTGCAGCTGGTGCCTGAAGGATATGTTTTTGTGCTGGGAGATAACCGAAATAACAGTTTCGACTCCCACCACTGGTTAGTTCTCTGCCATTAAAATTTATGTATTGGAGGAGTTTCTATGCCACATTATAGTCACATATAAAATGTCTTAATGTTTTCATAGTAAATATTTATACATAACTAGCCCTCAGAAACATTACTATTTACAAATCTTGCCCAATGTTTCATCCATTTTTCAGATTCAAAATTTAATTGTTGCCTTTGTATTTACAGGGGACCCCTTCCAGTGAAGAGTATTATGGGAAGGTCCATCCTGCGTTATTGGCCTCCATCTAAAATATCAGACACCATTTATGAACCTGGTTCTTCAGAAACTCCTCTCATGGTGGTTTTGAAGAATTGGACGCCTCAATAATTTTTAGTTTTTTTTTTTAATTTCAAATTTTATATTATTTCTTCATGCTATTTATGTAAAAGTTTTTTTTTTAATTTTTTTTATTTTTATTTTTGCAGTTCATTGTTAATCTTGACCATGCATTTTTGTATATTGTAATATGCTAGGGCCATGTTGCATGGAGAAAATTTGGCTGAAATCCAAGCAAAGCAAATTGTTGTGAAATTTTTATGTATTTGCATCTCAAGTTTTTAATTTTAAAAAAATATAACTTCATATAAAATTTTTGTGAAAATTCTTTCATGGGATGCATTATAAAATGAATATAATGAAGAATTATATATTGTATTTGAAATATTTTAGAGTTGTTTGGTTTAATTTAAAATAAATGAAAATAATTTATTTCTAAAAGTACAAAAATGAAAGATTTATTTATTTATTTATTAAATACATTTGTTTAATATATTCTTTTAATTATATTTATTATTATTTTTTGTTTTAAAAAAATAATTTATTTTTTATTGGGCCTATTGAATATTACCCTCTTAAAGTGATTATTTGTGCTGATCCATGTTTTTGTTCAATGCTCAATATTTTTTGCTCAGTAATAGCCTTTTTAATTTTAATCAAATTAATATTTTTTTATGTAAAAGATGTTTTAATGATATTTTAGGGAACAAATATGATGTAGTATTGTGACTATATTATTGAAAATATTTGATATTATCAAATTTGTCAAATTTAAAATAAAGGAAAAAAACGAGCTTATTATTATTTTTTAATTTGTTAGTTTTGAGGTTTAGTGCAGATCAAAATCGGTTCGTGACTTATTATATTTGATTTCGAGCCGAGCCGATTCAAAATTGAATCAAACTCCTTCTGAATCGAATTGAAGCTACGTGACTCAAATTGAGTTATTGGATCTATTTTAGCTGGAGAACGTCTCGATTTGGCTCAAAAGTTAAATTAATTGCCTCAAATTGAGATATTTGAATCCATTCCAACTCCAAATCGGATCTAAATTAGCCATGACTCACTATATTCAATTTTTCTTATCATTACATATACAATTTTTATAAATAAACAATAATAGGAGCTCCATCTTAACTAAGTTCAAGCCCATGCATCTATGACTTCGAATAAACCTAAGAAAATTAAAAACCCTCGTTTTTTTGTTAAGACGTTGCTTACGATTCGATTTCCAAACACAATATTTTCTCAAAAAATGAATGGTTCACCAAAGGGAGAAAAATTTGCGTACGTAAGACGTACGCAACACTGCATACATCATAAATGTTATTCTGAGGGTATTGAGGGTTGTATCTACATTATACCCCCAGTAACCTCCCTTTAACTTATGTGTAACTTACTTGTACCTTCTAGTAAGTTTGACGCTTCTGTTTTCATATATTTATATGTTATATGTAAGTTACATTATATTACAAGGAGGTTACGTGGGGTATAACACGAATATAACCTCTAATATCCTCTTAATAACCTCCTAAGTACTCAAAATTTTCTCGTTCACCATCTTCACACGCGTGAACGGTACACGCGCGTGTGACCCGTACGATGCTTATATTGAACGACGGGAAAGTATTAATGAAAACTGAGAATCCAGTTGTTTTCTCCGACTCGTTTCCTCATGGAGAAGGTGACCGTAAAAGTGGAGGCGGAGCCGCTGGAGCTGCAGGAACCACTGGGGCGGTCCCTTCTGCTTAAAGCACCACCTTCTTTCTACGGTGATGTCTCCGTGATAGACCTCAGCAGCAGCGAAAGTGATTCCGAGGCTGAGATAGAGAGGTCTAGGGCTTCGGATGGTTCCTCAGGGGCTGCCAAGAAACGCAAATTTGATGGCATGATGATGGATAATCTTCCTCCGGGTTTTCTCGACCCACTTCCGGCGTCGGGGGAGAAATTAAATCAGCTTTCGATGTCGACGGCGCAAACTCTTGGTTCAAGACAGTTCTGGAAGGCCGGGGATTTTGATGGTCCGCCAATTGTTGATGATTCAACGCAATTTTCTTGTAGGTTGACTCCCCCTTTTTTCTTTCTTTCTTTTGAGATTACGTAAAATTTATTTGTGAATGTTGCCCACTGTTTAAGGTTATTCTTCTTGTTTCGTCATCGAACGACAATGCATGTATTCGTTTCGTTCTGACATGGGTGGAAACGCAAGCAATATCTGATGGAACATTGCCCCGAGAAAATCTTAAACTTGAACAGTGAAGATGCAACTAGAAAACATAACATACTTTTGCTTTTGCAACTGATAAACTGGGATAAATGTCATCATTGAAAGCATTGTTCATTTGAACTGTGTTTTATGTTTATTTGGGTGTAACATAGATCATTGTTTCATTCCCCTATTATGGCTAAGGGGATCTCTGATAAATGTAACATTAGAAACCATTTTCTCCTCAACATGGTATTGAAAGAATCTTATCCCTGGTTCAGTGCAATGAGTATAAATAAGAAGAATATTTCATTCTTAAAAGCAAGTGGGATGAATGAATTCCTAGCTATTCTTGGTTTAGTCTTTTCCTGGATTTATGTTGTTAAGAAATATGAGTGTCATTAAATCCGTTTTTTATTTAAAGTTATGATCCGTTGCTCTCTATTTGCGGCTGAGGTTTCTGTAAATCTGCTTTGGTTTAAGTTTCATTATTGTGACCTTACAAGCCTTTTTTTACTTCTTAGCGGGCATGGACCATGTCAGAGTGCATCCTAAGTTTCTGCATTCAAATGCTACAAGCCACAAGTGGGCGCTTGGAGGTACTCTTCTTTAAACCTGAAGTATAGCGTCAATTGTGAATTTTTATCAGGGGCATTTACATACACACCGCACAATTCTGTAGTAGTAGTATTTTTTTATATGATATTAAAGATTATAGTGTTATATATATAAATATGAAAGTCTAGCTGTTAGATATGTAAATACATATGAAATGTGTGGTATGTATGTAAATTTTCCTTTTTTTTGTTGCACATGTACTGATGTCTACCAAATCAAAATGCATCATGCTTTGCTCTTATATTATATTGGCTGTGAAGTTTATGATGTCGGTTTGTTTCACTTTTTTATTTTTTTGGTTTTTTAATTGGTACTTTCTTTTCTACTTGATAGCTTTTGCAGAGTTGTTGGACAATTCACTTGATGAGGTATTGTTCTCATTTCTTGCAATATCATTATGTACAATATTGCTAGATTTCCGTCTGTACAATACATGGGTTTCTTTCTTTTTAGGTTTGCAATGGAGCTACCTTTGTGAGCATAGACGTGCTAAAAAATAAGAAAGATGGAACCAAAATGTTACTTATTGAAGGTTTGAATTGATGTTTTTCTTTGGGGGGTGGTTGTTGCATCTTTTACTTGTCTTTCTATCTTTAAATGATATATTTGTAATGAAATTGTCTTTTCTAGTTTTTTTTTTTGGGGGGTGGTTGTTGCATCTTCAGGCTCATTTTTCATTGGTATGTTTATCATACAGTTTAAATTTACAGGCCTGCCTTAATCTTAGTTTTTGATGAAAAAACTTATCTAACATTAAGTGTTTTTGAAACTTGAAATGTTTATCTATCCATTTTGTAATATTATCGCTGTAGTTGCATTTCTTGACTGTGAATTGAAGGTGCAGATAGGTAGAAAGTTTTGAAAGCTGAAAGAAGTCCATTAAATTTTTGATAGTGAGATAAACCTGATAATTTTAGATCATAAATTTTGTTTTATTGTGGTCTTCTAAATTTAATGGATGCCTAACCGTTTAATTTTCCTTGTAAAAAGAAAATAATTTTACTTGAAGGGTAGAATTCAGAAGATGTGATAGAAAAGTACCGCATAGAATTACAAAAAAATTTTATAAGATGGTGATGAGACATTCAATGCTTTATGGCACAAAATGTTGACCTGTAAAAGAGAAGCATGAAATTAAATTAAGTGTTCTTGAAGCAAGAATGCTAAAGGGGATGAATGCCTTTACACTTAAAGACAAAATGCAAAATAAATATATCTATGAAAGGGTTGAATAGCTTCAATGGCAGTCAAGCTAGAGAGAGTCACCTTAGATGGTTTGGTTACATTAAACGTCGATCATATGCTGACCTTGTTAGGAGATTAGATGTTTAGATTTGACATGTGTTAAGAAAAGTATAGGTAGACCTAAAAGACTTGAGCATGTTGTTTAAGAAATGATCTTAATTTATTTGTTAAAATGAAAATATGCACTCAATAGGACATAATGGAGAAAAATGATTAATGTAGCCGACCCCACTCAGTGGGGGTAAATGTGATGGGAACGAGACAAATTTCTGCAGGAATTAGGGTATACAGAATATTTTACTTCACCGGCACAAAACAAAACAATCCAAATACATAAACACCTACAATTTGAGAGGTATGCTATCTCTTCCAAGGATTCAAGACCACAATCACACATAACATAACCTTAAATTTATTAAAACCTATTTATACCCCACAATAATAACTAAAAAAAAATTAAATTGCCCTTTTAATCTTGTGCCTAACATAATTTTTCAAATTATTTAGCGGATGGCACCTTAGGCACCGGTCTAATAGAAGGATTGTTGTTGTTGTTGGAGGGTAGAATTCGGATTGTTGTTTATCTTGTAGAAAACACTAATTTATATCTCTGTTGTGATTCTTGTATTATAATTTTGAAGCTTTCTTTCATTTTTCATCATGTTAATTTGGTTTCATGGCTTCTCTTTTATAGATAATGGCGGTGGTATGAATCCTGATAAAATGCGGCAGTGTATGTCTCTTGGTTATTCCACAAAGAGCAAAATAGCAAATTGTATTGGACAATGTAAGTTTCTTTTATCAGAAAATGCTGTTTTTCATCCATGACATTTTTGTTGTCATTAAGATATTGATGCATCTGCACATACATTACTATTTATGTACTATAATTTCCATTTAATTTTTTTCTTTTAAAATTTATTTTTTACTATCTTCTATAGATGGGAATGGATTTAAGACGAGTACCATGAGGCTTGGTGCAGATGCCATTGTTTTCTCTTGTTGTCGCGGCGAAGGAAAAAGGTTGGCTGTCTACTCTGTGCTTTGCTCACAATCTTTACTATTTGACAATGAGTGCATGCCTTTTAATAGGTTCTGTCAAGACTAAATATTTTTTCTGGCGTGGATTTTACAATGTAGACTTTTAGTTTATATACAACAAGGTAATGGAGGTTCCATGGTGGTCTTCATAAAAATGTACACTGGTTCTTTTTATTTGGTAACTTATGGTGAATATTTTTCTGACAACGAGTAAATGTCCAAAATGATCGCTAGACTTCTTAGATGTGTTCATTTTAGTTCTTGATTAATTTACGTGAATTTAGTCCACTGGCTCATTAAAATTGAACTAAATTTGTCATATCGTCAACCTTGTCATTCTTTGGATGAACGTAGGTGTAGAGGTATTTTCCATGAAAGCATTCTAGACTTTTAAGGTCAATCTGACGGTTTAATACCTATTCAATTTGTCGACATTAATTATAAAATTTATAAGTACTATGTAAAACTTCCCTTTACCAGATTTTGTATAATGAAATGAAAAAATTGATGATAGGACCAAATTGGCTCAAATTTGGTGAGGTTAAGAACTGAATCAAACACTTGAAATTGTCTGCCACTAAAATTTGTACTAAACTTCAATCACTTGGTTTAAGTCTGTGTTATTAGAACTACATACATGAGTTTATTTGAGCGGTCATCTGCTAAGTCTAAGAAGCTTATAATATATTTCAGTTTCATTATGCGATTATGACTAATGGGTTTGCATGGTACTCGGTTTACAATACATTGGAAGCCTTTTGTTAATTGTAACAATTATAAGTTCACTGCCAATGCTTATAGAAGGTACTAAGAACAATACTATCTGCATGAAGGAAAAGTTCATAAAAAGTTATGTTGTGTATTGGGTTGAAGGCTTATGAGTTAGAATAGGATTCTGTCATTTGTTCATTCTTTAATATTTTTTATTTGACTTAATGTAACAATTTTTAAAACTAACGTTGGTGGTTCAAGTTTATGGATGGCAGAACAGTGATTGGTCCATTAAGTGCTTGATGTTTTTATTATAATTTGATTGGTCAGAAGTAAAAAGATAACATTCAATAGAAACAGTCTTAATAGAAGGGCCATATTATTGCTTTGATAGAGTATTTGTGGGCCATGCATGCATGGTGCTATCACATAGTAAGCTGTGAGAGGTGTTGAATTTGTTGAGTCTGCTAAGATATGTTAGTTAATTTACTTGGGTGAATTTTACATCTCAATTTATATATATCACTCCATCACAATAAAGAAAACCGTAAATATTTTATTTTCTTCAGCTATATTCGTTACGCTACATTTAGGCGTGCCATTACATATGAAACTAAGATTTTATTGTGTCCATCATCAATCAAATAGAACAATTTATGTGTGACTCAGACGGTTAATAGGGTGTATTTCTTCAATTAGGCACCTAACCAACACATTTCTTCTTTATAGTTGCTTGTTTGCTAGCAGTCTTTAATATTAGATGGCGATTGACTAGCGACCTTCTAATTCCTATGTATTTACATATCTAACAATTAAACTTTGTTTTTTACAATTATATTAACCAAATCTTTCATATCACATAAAAATTACCACCATTTAAATTTCTAAAAAGTAAAGTAAAACACAGCTTGTAATGCCTTGTTACTTATTCAAACCAGCCAGCATCGTCAACTTGTTTTAAGGTTGCCTTCGACCATATACTCCTCTTTTGTTGAAGTATGCCTAAGTGATTCCTTGTCTGTAGGGTATTTTAAAATATTGAATATGGATTTGAGTATTAACTAGTTAATCAACAGTTGTCCAAGTCGTTGGCGGTTCTGCAAAAATTCCCATTTATTTTACCCTTTTTTTGGGTGACGACTTATGTTTCTGAAACTTACTTTTCAGCCCTACGAGGAGCATTGGGATGTTGTCTTACACATTTCTAAGGAACACTGGTAAAGAAGATATTGTAGTTCCCATGGTATGCTATTTTTTCCGTTATTGCCTGTTTAGTTAGCACTACATTTGGTTCGGTAAACATATTTATGATTATCTGCTTGAAGTTAATAATGTTTAAAATGATATGATAAGATTACTAACAGCCAACAAGGCATTAGAGATGTTTATGGTTTATATATATATATATATATATAATGTTTTCATTCTATAGCGAGTCTTGTTTTAGTAGATATTTTTCTAGCATATCTATTTTGTTGATTTTCAGAATTAAAGTTATTTCATTTAATTTGCAATTTGGCTGGGTGATGCTATTCTAGGATTTTTAGATGGTGTATAGTGTTGTATAAAGGGATTGTGATGTTATAAGATATGGATTAAAGGGGAAAAACTTTAAAACAAAGAGGTTTGAATGTGGTGAGGGGTTCTGGCTGCTAGTTCGAGGAAAACATGGATGAAAAGCGAGTTGGGTGGCAAGGATGAATGTATATGGTCGTCAGAAGAATGCACTTAGTATCAGATCCATACAAATCATAATTCCTAAGAAATTCATTAATCTCACTTTAATATCGCAAATCCACATAGCTTATTCCTACAAATAACCTTTGCCGCCAGCCCTTCCTACTCACCCACATGCTGACGCCAGCCACTAATACACCCCCCCTGCTACTGTTCAGCCTGCCAGCAGCCTTCCCAGTTGTTGCATCCTCTCTACCCTTCACTTACTGCTGCCATAGCCTCTCTAACCCTTCTCCCATTTGCTGTCCAGTCGGGGTTCGCCACCTTTGCCCTCACCTTAGAGTTCTGTTTGTATTTGTATTATTTTATTTCTAGTTTTTGTTGTGTTTCTTTCTAAGTTCCAACAATAATAATCATATTTGCTTATTTTCAGGTTACTACAATATCATTGAGTTTAATTGTAGCCAACTTAACCCTTTTGTCTTTTGGAGTATTTTTCTACTAAAAAAATTGTTCAACTGTCCGGAGTCACTCCCTGAATTCATTCTCATCTGTGGTCATCAAAATTCGACAAGTCAATATTCACCCCAAAATAAATCTCTTATCCTATACTCAAATGTCAAATCAGTGAGGCATTAATTCTTCATCACTTGAGGCTTCTTGGTAATAGCAGTTTTCCTCATCTTCTCCGTCCAGTTGGCCATGTTTGTGGTTATGGTGGATTGATCATCTCATCTCCTTTCAAAATCAGCGAGTTTGTGCCGTGATTTTTCATCTCTAAAGGCCGAAAAGCATGTTGAGTGAGTTTCATGGCTTCTCTCACTTATAAGCATTGGTTGCACCAGGTGTAGGACAGCTGAAAGACTTACACCTTGCCTAGATGACAGTCTAGTAATCAATTTAAGAGACACACAAGAATTCTTTTGCACACGGGGACTATCAATTGGAATTGTCTTTAATCTACCGAGATACTGATTTGGTTGGCTAAGGGAAATGCACGAACCATAAGATGTTTAGCTTTAAATCTAAACTCAAAGTTATCCCTCAAAAGTGAGTCTACCACATTTATTTATGTATGGTTGGTAAGCATATCAACTACATTCATTTATAATGAGTAAGGTACGCATAATTCGGACCCTGCATGAACTGCGACCGAAAAAGCATGTTGAGAGAAGTACACTGCTTCTCTCATCTTAATCATTGGTTTTATCTGGTATAGGATACCCAAAAGGAGATTACACCTAGCCTGGATGGCAACCCACAATGATGATAAGAGGGGTATACAACCTCCATCACATATGTGTTTTCTTCTTTCTTTTCTATCTATTTTTAAATGAGCACGTTGAATGATTTTTCTTAGCACACATGGTTAATCATCACAAATAGCTTAAAGAGATAAAGTACCATAAATATAGTGGTTATGGTGGCTTGATCATCTCATCTCCTTTCAAAATCAGCGAGTTTGTGCTGTAATTGAAGGATTTCTAGTTGCATATCTACCATGATAAGCTTTTAAGCATACTTATGAAAATTTTTCCTTAGAGGCATGGTGGATTATCTACAGTTAGGATTTCAGCTAAGGTGTGGTGGCTGTTTTTGGGGTTGGATGAAGATGGGAGGAACAAGGGTTTAGGGCGAAGAGTGGATATTTGTATATGTAGATGGATTGGGCTATGTGGCTTTGCGCTCTGATATTAAGTGGATTATTCTGACATCTGTATACCTCCATCCTTGTCGCCTACATTGCTTTTCATCCATGTTTTTCTCCAATTAGCTGCTACAGACCCATCACCACATTCAAAAACCTTTGTTTTTAGGTTATTCCCCTTTGAATCCATATCTTAAAACATCCAAATCTCTTTTTTGATCCTTATACGCCATATAGAAACTCTAAATCAGAGTCACCGCTTCACTAGTGTTGCAGCTGTTATTTTATCCCACAGTACCTTCTAGATGTTTCAATCCACATAAATAACTCCCACACTATACTGAATTTTGATTTAATATGTTTGCTTGCATTTCCTTGTTGATGGCTTTTTGAATGTATGTTAATTCATTTCATTTGGAAGTAGGTGAGCCTAGTTTCGGCTGTTAGCTTATTCAACTGAACTTTCTTGATGGTTCAGTTTGCATTTAAGCTTTTTAAAAGCCTTCGAAGACGTTTATGGCTAGAGTTTCTTTTTCTGTTTCCTCTCTACAGTGAAATTTTTATTTAATAGTTAGTTTGGTTCTTCTGCTTCATTAACAATGGTTGTGGTCTTTGAACTTGTTATTTCAGAACCTTGTGTGCTAAACTTGAAATCACAACCTAATATTGATGCTGGATCAGTCATGGAGTATTTATTTCATTATGCAGATTACATTTCTATTTCAGTTTTCTTTGGATATAGTTCAATTTTACTCATTCTGATCTACAAGTTCTTTCTGCAGCTTGATTATGAAAAGAAGGGACAATATTGGGAAAAATTGACGCATTCATCTGCAATTGATTGGAATAAAAATGTGGATATTATTGTACAGTGGTCTCCTTATTCTAGTGAGGCTGACCTTCTTCAGCAGGTAGTTCTTCCCCTCTCGTGGTTAAACTGAATGAAATTTCTATTATGGCCTACTTTTTTGGAACCAGAATTATTTTTTTCTAAACATCTATATATACTTGAAAAAGGCAGACTTAATATTTATTTCATTCTAAACCTTTGAGGTTGTTGCTTGCAAAGCAAAATTTGAATAAGGAGGCTCAGAAGTTTGTCAGTACCTTCACCAAATTCTTACATACATTTTATGCGCTGTTGATTAAGGGTAGCCAGTCTTATTCAATGCTGTTGTGATATATCTTAATGCGACTGCTGGAAAGAAATTGACACCACAAAGTGAATTCTTCCGTGTGATGAAATGTCCCATAATTCCTAAATGTTTGCTGGAGGTTGTTATTAAGGAGTCTAGATGGCAAAATGTTGCACGTATGCTTTTTGAGGCATAAAAGTTTTTTTTAACTCTCTCTCATTGACACCGCAGGATGCTTTTTCAACTGGCAGTTATTATTTTAATTTTTTACTTGATATCCATTTTTATTTTCATAATCATCAATTGCATTATTCCAATTATTTGAGGCTCACATCTTGAAGCCTCATTATCCATTCTTTCATGTTGATTGGTAAATTAGTTGTTAATGTTGTTTAGCATAAATCATTTTGGATTAGTTAATAATGGTTGAGTTGGCTATTTGTACCCTAACTCAATGACCTAATGAGACAATAAATAGTTATATGCATGTAGGTTTAGATTTTGATTCACTTTGGTACACTTAAAACCTAAATCAATGTGGAGTCAGGCCCATCCATTTGTGATCTGATTTAGGAAAGTGTTAAATCAAATTAAGAAAATTTAAAAGAAGATTATTGAGAAGTGAGAAATGAACCCTTTAAAACATGAAAACAATCTCACCGCACCTTGCACCGTGGGAAAGCTTTCTCTAGATTCAACCACCATCAAAATCTACTTCATTAAGTCAGCATTGTCTGCTAGACTCTTGGTCCCCTGAGATCTAAAACACCACTTGACAAATGACTTTATTTTTATCCATTTTAGTTAATTTGTACTTTCACTTAAGGTTGCCACCGTATCAAGTAGATCTACCGTTGGGTATGTAATGCCATCTACATCAATGTCTTCAATGAATTGCTCTCATAACTCATCATCATCATCATTACAATCAAATCTCACTGATACCATCCATATGCAACATAGCAAATACCGCATCGCCATGTGCCAACTGCCACACAGAATTATCAGGTAGTCTATAGTGACAAACCCCAATAGTGCACCATTAAACGCTGCAATATAAAAAATGCAATACAAAAAAAGCACGACCCATAATCTGCAAATCCTCGCCATTGCCAATTTTAGAAAGATCGTGGTCAAAGGAGCTGAACAAAATCCCAACTCTTACAGGAATTGGTATCCTATCTGATACTGGAGTTAACCCAAACTATAGTGAAAATACAAATACCAGTGCTGAAATTCAAAATGTTACAAACAAAGAATCTTGCCTTTAGAAAAATAATGACATAAACATGTAAACAACAAGTAATGATGACGACGCTGCAAAATATGAAAGAAAATGACACAAAATATATAAATAGCTCCCAAGAGTGTGGCAAGCCCAAAAGGGAAAAAAAGGAAGCAATAGCGGTGCTAGAGGGTGGATGGGAACATATGGCAGCAGGTGGTAGTGACGCTGGATGGCATAGAGGGCTGGCGGCCTTCTGGGAGGAGGCTGATAGCAAGTGGTTGTGGCGTAGAAGGGAGTAAGAGAGGTGTTAGGGGACTGGACAGTCGCAGGAAGCATCAAACTGTGGGAGAATATCACCACCTGGGACGAGTTGTAGCCGGAGCACCTCCTTGCCTTCGAATACAACCCTAGAAGGGAAAACAACCACCAACGGCAAGCTATATAGAAATATGAAATCAGGAAGACCAAAAACTGATCCTAACCAAAGCAATATATAATGAATAATAGTAGATAGAATAGATAGAGAATACAAATATAAAGTTGATGGAAAGGGAATGTGGTCGAAAAGGAAGGGCTAGACTAGGCAAGGAATCAAATAGTTAAAATGAACTAAGGTACTATAGTTGCTACAGTACCACATACTGGTAAGCTCCCACCTCACTACCGCCCATAGAATCAAGCCCCCCAAGGTCAAACTTCATTTCCCCAAGAAGGGAGGCAGATCGGCCTCCTGAAAGAAAAGCTCTAATTTTCCTTGCCAAATCAATGTATAGAAAAAACAAATTTATGTAATAAATAAATAAATAAACTTGTACAGTTTGTTGCTTGTTGTGATGCTTCCAACGAGATTAAAGATGGATTTTCAACATTTCACATGCCAAATATTGTTAAGAGCATGAACTAATCTATATTCCCTGAATTCCAAAACATGTTTTGATTTGACATGACTATGTCTTGCTTTCTGAATTTCCCACATATCTTTGGGCTTTTAATCGACCTAAATTTATCTGTCGATGCCATCAAGAAGTCATGTCGCGGTCTAACAACTCTACTTCTGTTATTTTATAAAATGTTCCACAAAGCAGTTTATATTTAGCATTGTTATAATGCTGAAACTAAAATTTTTTTTGAGAAGAGATTAGTTCCACACGGATAAACCATGTAAAACATAACAGTTGCTCCTTGTTATTTACTTATTATGCAAATTTCATGTCAAGCAGACAAAAGAGCAATATCAGTCTTTTGACAAGCAAAATGCTTCAATAAATAATGAAGAGTAAATGCCTTCTCTGATTTTGTCTAGACTTCTTTAGGTGTAAATGCAAATGTTGCTATAGGTATCCACACACATACCCAATTTTGAAGTCATTAATGATACCTGATTAATGTTTGTCAATAGGTAGTTTGGAACATCGAAAAAGGTTTAGACATACATGCTTAATGTTTGTCACTTCTACATCAGAACTCTCTGAAATTTTTTTTATTTTACTTTTTTGCTTTGATGTCAACCGGTAGATAGGAAAATCCAGAAAGTACTTGCAGAACTGATAGGTTATAGTTGATAATTGATAATTTTGTGACAGTCTCTAAGTCTGTCTTATCTAATGTAATGGCATGTTCATTTTCATCTTGTACTGCTGGAAGGCAATCTTTGTGCGATTATTCTTTTTCCATGCCTCTTCTGATATGTATTCCCTCGTTCTTCTTCCACAGTTTGATTTGATGTCGGATCATGGGACTCGGATAGTGATATACAACCTATGGGAAGATGATCTAGGAAAACTGGAGCTTGATTTTGACACTGACAAAAATGTATGGACCCAGCCATTTTCAATCTTTCTCCCCATCTCACCCTCAAATTCAGACGTTTTTCACAATACTCTTGAACTTTGAGAAGATAGTGAGTGGGTTTACCATTTGGACGATTTACATACATACACTCAGTTCTGATGTATTTACATATCTAACACCCAAACTTCAATTTTTACATACCTGCCACCTTCCTCATGCATAGAAAGTTAAATGGCGGTATTTTTGATGATATTGAAGATTTGATTGTTATAAATATGAAAATTATAGTTTAGGTGTTAGATATGTAAATAAAAGGATTGGGTGGTATATATGTAAATGCTGTTACCATATTCATAAACTGGACTGGTTCAAATTGTTTGACCTTTTATGCTTTTTGTTATAATGACACTGTTCGAGATTACAGGATATTCAAATTAGAGGTGTCAATCGAGACGAGAAAAAGATTCAAATGGCTCAACAATTTCCAAACTCTAAACACTTCTTGACATACCGTCATTCTCTGAGGGTATGCTTTTGTTTGGTTCAAACATTCTTTTTGTTTGTTTACGTGATATGTTATCTTGTCATGTATTGCAAGCTATTTTTAAGAATTTTGTGTATTTATTGATACTAATTGCAAAATTAAGAAGTTTAATATGTTGAAAGATCATAATGGTTGCTATTGAAAATAAACCTGCAGCTATTAGCTGGAGTTATTTGCTAATCTTCAACTACCTTAATTCAACCTTTTGTGTTTGACTGTGTTAATTCTCACCCTCCATTCATCCTTTTTAGTGCCACTTAGAGTTATTTACTCTTATTTTACCCTTCACAACGTTATTTTTATTTGCTAGTTTTCTTCTTAATTCTTTCACATCATTTATACCCAATTTTCTTACTTGTACATCTTCTTCCCTGCATGCATGCCCGATCCACTTAAGTCTATTGGTCATAATCCTATCATCAATGAAGTCAACCATTGTTACTCTACTATAAACATTTGTTCACTTTATCCATCAAAATTTTGACATTATCTATGTTAACATTCTCAGTTTTACCGTATTTGGTTATAAATGGTTTTCTTTCTGGTTTTAGGATTACTTTTGGGCTGATTAACGGCCTTTCAAAAAGGCGGTTTAATATTTAAAACATTTCCTCCAAATTTCATACGGATGACCACCCTAGTTTTAAAGAAAATAAAATCAAATAAAAAGAATGTACAATTAATTGTTATCATAATGTATAATGTACCTCTGAGATTGATCTACTGAGAGATCTCCTTCTTCTTCATGTAGCACTTAGCTATCAACTCAGGAAACGTTTACGTTTTCAAAGGCTCTAAGCGATTTTTTTTCTGCTCTTCATTTTAATATTGCAACCTCTGAACTGAGCAAACAGCAAGGTTTATGTTTTGCAAGGCTAAAAAAAGGATGTGAGAGGAATCGAGAAACTTCCAGTTAACGGGAAGATAGGGTGAATGCTAGCTAAGAGGAGAAAGAAACTTCTAGAATATATATTTATTTATTTATCTGCTGAAGTGATTTATGAGTGCGACATGGTTCTTATAAGGCTATGCTAATCTATCCTCCAATTTTGTTACATAAATTAGTTTTGATTTCTTAATAATTAACACTACGGTAAACATCTCATTTGTGACTTTAAGGTTTCTTTAAAAGGATGCCATCCTCTGTCTTTAGCGTTGAATAGATTTTCTCAAACTACCTGAGCTCTTCTTAGTTTTGTGACTAAGCATGTCTCTCATTGCTTTTCAAATTTGTGGAAATGTGAGAGGACCTTGGGAAGGATTTGATTGGGACAACTCTTGACCTCGTTTTTGGTGAGGTCTAATTTTCCTCTTAGGGTTTAGGATCTAGCCTTAGGGATCTCCCTTCGACTATCTTAGAACCTTAGAAATGGGACCCGCCATATGTAAGAGTAAAATTTTTACCGGTAAGAGTTTCGCGTGTGTGGTATCGACTTCTATCACTTAGAAGGATGAAACCAACATGAGGAAACCCAAAAGGAATTCCTATAGGACCTTTTGAGCCTTAGGGTGGCCTTCTGCACAATTCGCACTCCCGCGCGCACAAACTTCACAATTTGGTGAGTCGACGCGTCCGATTGCTACAATTTACATCACTTGCACTGTTACCTGTCGAAGACTCGAGTAAATTTTTTGAAACGATCGATCGCGGGTCGAAATTTTGTGAAATTTGAATTTTGACGCGTTTTTTTGACCCGATTGTCGACGACGTCGTCCGAGTGACCCCGGATGACAAAACAGACTGCACCGGCGCGTCCGGAACGTTAATTTTGCCTAGGGAAGACACTCATTTTGTTATGACGCCGCGCGTGAATAAATCGCATATGATTTTATATATATATATTAATATATAAATTTATATAAACCAAATCCTCCCTTTCCTCTTTAAGTCCTAAATCCCTAAACTCACGCACCCGAGCTCTGCCTCCCTTCCCTCTCCGTTCGCGTGCCTGACCTTTCCCTTTCTCGGTCTCGAGCCAACCGAGCTCTTCCTCCACGCGAGAGAGAGTTGACTTCTCATTCGTCCTTGCCCGACACTTTATGCCCGCGACCCTCCTTCCTGAAGCCGTGCCAGTCTCCCCGAGCTGTGGTTTTCCTTTTCTTGGTAGCTTGACTATGGGAAACTTGCTCTCTGGTATACTTGAATGACAAACTCTCTCTTCAGGCTCACCACTTGGTCCTGGATGTTTCGGTTGTTTCGCCTTCTGTGAGCAGAGAATGCAGAGCAGGGAATGCAGCTTTTTCTTTTTGGCCCGATTCGAGTACCGTGAGTGGTGGGGTGATTTTCTTTCTCTTCTCCTTTCTCGGCATATAAACATAGTTTCTCTTAGGGTTGGTGGTTGTTGAAAAAGTTTGCTAAAGAAGAGTGGAATAGAGATTTTGGTAGTGAGAGGAGTTTAGAAAGGGGATTTTTGTGAGAGCGTCTCCTTGAGGTGGTTTCTTGTGTTGCAGTGCTTTACATTTGCATTAAGGAGGTATCTCTTCTTCTCCCCTTTTTCGGTGTTTTGCTTCCTTTCAGTTTTCTCTCTGTCGAGCCTCCTCTTGCTCGGTTAAGTGGATAGTACAACATGCTAGTTTAATTCACTTTCATGTATTTTGAGATGTTTACTTTAAGAGCATGTTTCAAGAGTTCGATTTGATTACTTGCTTAGAATGGTGGAAATATAGCATGACATAAGTGTTCTTCTTTTCTCTACTTGCTTGAGATGAAACAGTGACATAGTTCTATTATTGTGAACAGGAAGCTTGAAACATGGTCTTGAAATAATTTTAGCTCCTCTTGCAAGCAGGTTAGGATATGTATTATGAAGCTTTTCATCTATTTTCATTTAGTATGAGATATTGGAAAGGTTATTTGGCCTTTCATGCATGTTAGGGGTTGCGGTTTTGGTATCTCATGGCTTTCCCTTACCTGAAATGCATGTTAGGAGGAAATTTATTTAATTTGGAAAGCTTTGTATCTTGTTTTGAGGGCTTGGTTTAGCTTCTCGTGAGACATCTCCCCTGCTCAAAAATCTGTTGGAATTGTTGTATGCTTGGAATATTTAGACATGCAGCTTGTTCCTTGGCTTTGGATGACTCGGTTTTATCTTCAGGTGGTTGGAACTTTAATTTCTATTAAAGCCTGAATTTATATCAATGTCTGGATCCTGTTTTAGCCTTGTTGAGCTCTGTTTTGGCTTTTGGTTCTTGTTGGGCTCGATTTTGGCTGGGTTTGGAGTCTCGGTTCTGGATTGCCTTTATGGAGGCTTGAATTTTAATACTGCTGGGCTCGGTTTTGGCCCTGTTGGGCTCGATTTTGGCATCCTATCGGTGTCTTGGCTCAAATATACAAGTGATGAGTGGATTTATGTTGATTTGGAAGAATTCCATAACTGTTCTTGTGTAAAACATGTGTTAGTTATATATTTTGATGTCTGGAGGATATGAAAATGTTTTCTACTCTTTAGTTGTAACCCGAATTCGAACCTTAGTTGTGGTTCGGTCTTGGCTTGACTTGGGAGCTTGGTTTGCTTGTTTTAGCTCTTACTCGAGAGCCCATGATTGATTCCTTATACTTGTCTTTACTCAAGAGTATTGGTAGCTTGCTTTGCTTGCCTTTGACCCTTACCAGAGAGCTTGTTGGGTGGCCTATCTTGTGTATTTTTCTGCCCCTACCCGAAAAATGGCTTTGGGTATGATTTTTGTTGGCTCTAGTTGAGAGCTCGGTTTGCTTTTCCTTGCCCTTACCCGAGAGGTGGTTTGGAGGTGGTTTGCTGGCTTTGGTTCCTATTCCTACCCGTGAGACCTATTGGAGTTTCTTGAGTTTAATTTACCCCCTCTTGTTGAGTTTGAATCATTTGATGATTGTAGATGGATCAAACATGTTACTTTGAGAGATTAGTGATGTTTTATACTCTCCTATGTATATCAAAACTTGTAGGGAATTGATTCGGGTTGCCTTAGCCGTGAGCCTCACTTGTTGTTCCTTGGGTTCGCCTTAGCCGTGAGCTTCTTTTGGTCTTGGGTTTGCCTTTAGCCGTAGGTTTCTTTTGGTCTTGAGTTTACTTTGGCCGAGAGCCTTAGCTGCTGTTTCCTCTATCTATTAACCCCGACCGTGAGCATTTATTTGGTTCTGCGGGTGGATTTCATGCTTATTCGATACACGAGACTATTTATTAATCTGAAATTTGGGGAAATTTTGATTTCGGCATGAGTTTGGAAATATTAATGGTGGTTTCCCCGAGATCATTTTCTTTTGAAGATTGGGAGACTTTAAATCCTTTTTTTCTTTTTTGGAAAAGCATTTAGTTGTGGTGAATTAAATTCATAAAGGATGTCGTTGGGGTTTAGATACCGGCCTTAGGAAGTCGTTTTGACTCGGGTTGGTTCAATTCTAAAAGTGAGAAAGTGATATCTATTTCGGATTGATTCAAGGATCTTCGGGTTTTTCTTTTCAAGTCTTTTTTTGTCACGAGCTTTGAAGACTGATCTATTCTCCTTTTCGGTGTTTTAGATGGATCAGTGCCTCCTCTCTCTCACCCCATTTTTGTTCTTTTCTTTCCTTGCTTCTTGGTTCGTTCTTTCTGATGCTTATGTCTGATACATAAGTGTCCACGTATAACCTTTTGCTATACGTGAAACCATCAAGCAAGGTCGCAAGTAGTCGTTTTGGGGCGTACGGTGTTGATGATAAATGCACACCGAAGATAGAGCAGAAAGATGCCCTATCCTATACCATACAGATCCAGACATTTGATGAACAAAAGGATATGATATCCTTCACTGACATAAGTCTAGCGGGAGTTGGCTCGAACCTTTTTCAGGTAATTGGCAGTCCCATGCCCGACAGTGTAATCGACTCGTGGACAACGAAAAAAAAAATACAAGTTTTGATAAACCCTTTTCAAGCAAAAACATACTTTTCTACGAATCAAACTTATAATAACTCTTCCTTGCATGTTTAAAATTTGTATGCATGTTAAAAAAAAAAAAAACAAAAA